TAATAATAATAATAATAATTTTAAAACAAAAAGGAAAAAAAAAAATCTGGGCAGGGGGAGGGTACCCAGGCTCCATTTGAGCACACAGACTGGAATGGAATTCCTGCCCAGAAGGTGGGTGGGAATGAGGGATGGCTGCACCTCAGTTCACCAAGAGGGTGTGGGGTATAAGAGTAAGAAGGGGAATATTGCACCTTTCCGGTCATTTGTGTCCAGAATATCCTTGCGGTCCTTGGCAAGTGGAGCCTATTCTTAGGTCCCTGGAATCTGAGAGAACGCTGTTGCTTTAAATATCCAAAATGGTCAAACCACTTGCAAGCATTCAAAATGACTGTGCCCTGTGGACAGCCAAAAGTCCACAGCTCACCCTGTCTCCCTCTTCGCTGTTTCCCTTTATTCACCAGCAACCAGTATAGTTCTCTGTGCAGCCCCTAGCTAGCAGGGCCAATTTTTAGGTTAATTCATAGATCCTAACATCACTTGGCAATATCCAAGCTATCCATGCCATCAGGATTGCTGACAGACCACAGCTCTGTTTGTCTCCTCTTGCAGTGTTTTCATGGAGGTTCTTCTAATAGTTGGAGTTTAGTCCACTTCTGTATCCTTTCCTTCAAAGCTCAGGGCTCCAGGATTATCTTCTGTATCTGTGTTAATTGGTTCCCCTTTTCTTTGTTGAAGAGGATCTGTTTACTTTGTCTGCCCATTCCACCATCTTATCAGAACTCTGGATTATATTAACTTTTGTATGCGTTCATATGTTCCCTCTTCTATTAGTGTGGATAATTGTAATAAGAAATATTTGGATATTTTTTTTTTAAACTCTATCCAATACTTGGTCCCTCTCCATTACTCATCTGTCATGTTTTCCTTTCGTAGGTAACATCATAAACCAGGAGCATCAAGGGATTATTGACTACTCCATTCCCAGTGAGGAAATTAGCTTGGGAAAGGTGATTATGGAGTCATATCCTTCTAACATTATGTGTTCATAGAGGGTGGGTAGTAAGCACTGGGAATCAAGCATATAGAATGGGAACCTAACATTAGGGGAGGAGCAAAACTTCAGACTACTTTTCAAAGCCCCCTGTAGTTTAGTTGATTGATAGTTTTCCCTCTGAATTGTCTTAATATTCCACACCCACCAAGGGAGAATGAGGATGGAGAACTACCTTCTCCCTGTTTTTAATCATCATTTCCTTCTACTTTCTCACTTCTTCCTTCTGTATCTTTCTATTCCTAACCATAAACTTGGAAGAAGTGAGGGGATTGTTGGGTGGGAAAAGGGTTCATCTATGGAGATTGCCATGGTAATTCCACCATTTTTTTCCTGTTAAAGGTGTTTAGTATTTTGGAAGATGCTAAGTTGCTATTCAATTTAGAAGACTATTCAGTCAGTCAGATAACACTGGAACAAATTTTCCTCACCTTTGCTAACATTGATAAAGTGGAAAATGACCAGACAATAAAGCTGCTATGAGATTCACTTCCGACTAGTGACTTTTATGTCTTTCTTAAACTGCTGCTCATACCTGGTTACATTGAGAGACATTTCTCTCTATGTGTGTATCTTTATGTGTTGTGTGTGTTTGTGTGTGTGTGTGTGTGTGTTTGACTCATTATTTGTGGTAGTTATGTTCTATGAAAATGAAAGAAAAAACTTGTTATCATTGAATTGTTTCTGACTCTTGGTGATCCCTTGTGTTACAGAGTGGAACTCCTCCATAGAGTTTTCTTTATGGAAACAGATTGCTAGGCCTTTCCTCCTTGGTGCCACCAGGTTGGTTTGAATAGCAAACCTTTAGGTTAGTAGTCAAAGACAAAGTGTTTGCACCACCCAGGGACCTTATAAAACACCCCTCAAACTTTGAATTGGAGAACACTGAGTGAACCAGCCTTGTTCAGCCTCAGACCTCAGCAGAAATTTATTGCCACTCTGTGAATGCACAATGTCTGCAAATGGCAGGAAAAGTACCACAAGCACTTTTAGCAAATAGGTGAGTTTGTGAATATGGAGTCCACAAATATATTCCCCAAAAAAAGAAAGTTTGTCATCTTATTTAAAGATTAAAGTGAGTGACTTGTTGTCAAGAACTAATGAAGGGTCATGGATTTCCCCCTGTTTTTAAATTAGCAAGTTAGCCTCCCATTTTCTCATGGGTGCTGGCAGAAGAAATGGGAATCATGAGTCAAACACAAAAGAACTTTATTATTCACAGCAATAGCAGTAGTAAGATTATCATAATTTGCACCATTGCCCTGAGCTCTCATTCTCACACAGCAACAAAAAGAGAGTGAGATGATGCTTGTAACTTCAATGGGTCGTGCTACAGGAAAGGAACCCTGAGCTTATGGAAACCAAGTCTTTTATAATGGGGAGTAAGCAAACCTGCCAACTCTTTGCTCTGGAAGAATACATTATCTTATTATACTTCTCTCTGATCCAAGAGAGACATTGTCTGTCTTCAAAGACTTTTCTCTATACTCATCCTTGCAAAAGTAGTATGGAATAAAAAGAAAGTTACTACTACTGCTTGAAAGTCATGATGAAATTCAAGAGGTCAAGAATTGTCTTCCAACAATATCCACCTTCATTTCTATACCATCTTCTGCCAAAATTCCTGTGAGTATGACACTCCATTGGCCATCTTCATTAATCTGATTGACAGAGACTGGGACTGAATTCATTTAATTTGTCTCATACAATTTTTCATTAAGGCTACTATCAATAGGACTCCAAGCAGCATGATGAAACTATCCTGAAATATTTGATTTCAACCATGCCTCCCAAGGTCCCATATCCAAGTGGCTTTCTCCTTGAAGTTGGCTTCACTTTTCTACTTGGCCTGAGGCATAAATTCAGGTACAGTACTGCCTCAGAAACCCAAGGAGGGGTGGCTATGAGTCGAATATGACTCAAAAGCAGTACGTTATGTTGTGTTATAAAAAGGAAATCTAGAGAAGTTCTATATTCCTAAACCAACTTGACCATCATAATCTGACCTGAATGCCTTCCAGAGTTGAGGGTGGTGTTTCCTTAAATATGTGGAGGTCTCTTATCACCACCTCTAAAGTACAACTCAATGTATTTTGAAGGAAGGTAAATTAGTTCCTGGATTTCATACAAGTGTAGAATCGTAAGGGTGCACTGGGTGCCCCAGAAGGAAAGTGTTGTTTACAATCATTGGTGCCACCCAAGTTGGCTGTACTTCATTCAGAGGACACAAGTTAAAAAACACCTGAAACATATCCTCCTGGCTCATTGGTCAAAACCAAAAAACCAAACCCACTGCCATCAAGTTGATTTGACTCATTGCAACCCCTCCTTGGGTTTCTGAGGCAGTATCTCTGTGGAAGTAGATGGCCTAATCTTCCTTCCAAGGAGTAGCTGGAAGGTTTGAACCACCAGCCTTCTGGTTAGCAGTCAAATGCCTTAGGCACTTGGCCAATCATAGGGTGCAATGTAAATAATTGAATCTAGTTGAGTCTAGTTCTTGTTTGTGAATGGACTTCCTAAGGACAAGCCATCCAGATTGCACCGTTTGTCTATGCCAACAGCCAAATGGCATTAATCTGCCTTTGTGGAATGATAGAGCAATGTATAAAAGAATGGGGATGAGGAAGACATTATAGGTAAGACATAGGAAGATATTGACAATGTTGTGTGGAAGGTACAGGAACTGGGGCCATCCTCTGCTCTTTCCAATAGACTTCTTAGTGAGCTTAAGGAGAATGGCAATTAAGTTGTAGTTAGAACTGTCTGGTGAGAGATGAAAGACTCAATAGTCAGTTAAGTTTAAGGTGTGTGCAACAGTTTTGGAGATTTTGCGCCAGAGCATTTTTCTACATGAAGAAGACTCCAGGAGCAGTTCTGAAAGACAAAACACCATTAATGTCCCTTTCTCCTCATTTCCTCCCAGGGTTTAGGGTGTTCTCTCCCATGTGCCTGGATTGTTGCACTCCCTCCACCACCATAAAATTGTTTTTTTCCATTCTAGTACCTGTAATTTTACCTTTTTTCCAGTCACCTTGTACCCTCAGCCAGATCTTTCATCTTGAAGGATTAGGTGCAAGGACAAGTTTCTAAATAAAACTTATAGAACCAGAGTTAAGTTTTACTCTTTCATAGACACCTTTTGACCAGAGTACCATACAGAGAGTGTATCAACCAGGCCAACCTGCGGTTGCTCCCAGATAAAGAAACAAACAACACGCCCAGGAATAGTCAAGACCATCCAGAACTCCAAATTCTTCAAGTAGGTCTGTATAACTCCACATCCCTTTTATCTCAACTGTTACCCAGAAAATGACTGAAAGGGATGGACTTTTTCTGGAAACAACCTCATTCAATCATCAAAATGCTTTATTAAAGTGTGTAAACCAGAGGGAGTTTGGAAGGTCCCTCAAATACCTTGATTATCAGCCATTGTTTTGTAACTTTTGTGATAAAATATACTTTATTTTTAGGCTGGGAATGGTGTGGAAAGTTAAGCATATGACACAGATTACTTTCAAGAACCCCAGTGTGTGACTGAAATCTGCTTATCAGACTGAAATAGTAATCCTATTACCTGAAAAAGAGTCAACAGTGGCTGACCCCAAGGGAGTGGTGAATGTCCAATTACTCAGTCTTTCAGATGCAAACAGAAGTCATGCCTCTTGCAATTGCATTCCTCACAATGAGACAAATGGGTCAACTTTTGGCAGGAGTCACAAATCTCTGCTTCCAAATCATAAAATTACGTACTTTTTCCCCAGTCTGTGATAATGAATATGTTACCATGTTCAGTACAATAATGGATATAGATAGGACTGGTGGAAATCTGGATGGTTCAGGTTTCATTAGAAACTTGATTTCAGTCTGTCTCATCAGAGAATAGGCCCTTGTTATGATTGTGTGCATGAATAACCATGATGGCTTAATCAGCAGTCATCCCAAAGAGGACTGTCTTTAAATCTGCCAATCGATAGTTTTCCAAATGACAGATCAGCTTGGGATAAATCCAAGCATCAGCAAAAATATTAACAAGGTCCATCTAAGGGAGTATTGTCCAGAGCTATGATAATGACCTTGAGTTCTGCCCGCTGAGCAGAATGACTGTATTCATTTTCATTTCTGCTTAGCTGGTACTGAGGCTGAACAGCCCAATGGACACCATTGGGTTTCAGCTAAGTGAACCAGATCCAGACATTTAGGGAAGCTCTGGTAACATAGTGCCTAAAGCACTTGACTGCTAACCAGAAGGCTGGCG